GAGGGCTATGAGTCCTTCCCAGATGGGAGGTTCTCGAAGCTACTGTGTAATTGAAGCATCTTTTGAAGCATTTAGACCAGTGAGTCTTCAAGGGGTTAGGGGTGTGTGCAGAGGCCGTGTACAGTTCGGGAGATCATATTTAAAGTGTTTTTTTCGTGGTACAAATAATAGAAAATAGAATCGTACAGCCTTTGGGTGGATACGGAAAGTGGTCTGAGAAGGTGCGTAAGGGATCTGGGTTAAAAGGAGCAGCGTTGGGGAGTATCATATTTTGGCTTCAAGATCTTGGCCTCAAACTGCAAGTGCTGCACGTTGGTCAAGTTTTCCTCTGGAAGTTTTAAATCGTTTTCTTTTTTAAATGATCAGCGTGTCACTGAGAGGAAATGATGTTAAAGCATCAAAGGAAATGACAGAGATACTGGGCTGGTGACCAGTCTGTGTTCTCCGTCAGCTCCGGAGCTGCTCTCCAACTGCCCGTGCTGCCGAGAGCCAGGCGGCACATCAGCGAAGAGGGTCACATTTGGGGCCCTCATTGTGACGTAATCTGGATGTCAATATTGCCCCCAAATGTAAATAAACCCCACATAAATAGATGTGAAGACAGTGAGGCTCTGGCCACAGCTTTATGAAAGGAAGGAGAGCAAAGCATTGCGGTGTCCCCTCACCAGATGCTGACACTCCCTGCAGTCTGCGACGGGCCAGCCCCGCGGGCCATATACGGGCGTTCGGTCCCCCTGTGGAGGACAGATTTGGCAGGGACAATGGTGGGCCCACGAGGTACCTGTTGGCTGAGGCGCCCCAGGCCGAGAGCTCCGTGCGAGCTCTGTCACCGCCCCGTCCCGGGGCCTGGTGTCCAGTGAGTGTTAATCCATGGCTGTCTTTTTTAAAAATTTTATTTCATAATTTAAAAAATCAGAGTTCCGGAGGATGGCATGGAGATTCCCGGACTCATTGTTGTCGGCGCCTGGTCATTCCGCAGAGACGGGTCCTTGACCATGCTTTCGGTCTGCCTTCCAGGGCCAAGGTGGCAGTGATGCTGACGCTGGCAAGCAAGCTGAAGCGGGAAGATGGTCTCAAAGGGTCCCGGACGTCAGCCGCGGCCTCCGACTCCACTCGGAGGGTGTCCGTGAGAGACAGGCTGCTCGTTAAAGGTAACGTCCGCGTGCGCTGTCCTTACTGTGTCACGGCGAGGTCTGGCTAGAGGCTTCTGGGATGCGAAGCGGCCC